TATTGAAAGTAAGATTCATGCTACTATTGACATTGATATACCTATATATTACAGATATGTAGATGATATTCTATTAGCATTGCCTAAAGAGAACATTAATCAAACTTTAGAAATTTTTAACTTTCTCGTTTATAAATTCTTTTACTCCTGAATACACGTGGTCATTGAAATCCTTTCACTCGTAGCGCCCAGGCAACCACGCTCTGCTACCATGTTAGAATTATCGTTTTATTATTGTTTGGAACACATTATTTCTTATTGTAGATAAGTAATAAATTGGTTTATTAACGTTAATATCAATCTGATTTGTACATGGCTGATTACATACACTTTTCTTACTTGCTACGCATCTTATATAACGTCTCTCCTACTCTGTTTTTCTCTCTTCGCGCACACTCACAGCTCTCACATCCCCACCAAGCCTTGTGAATCATTCCGGAGCAGAGATTTACTCCTTTATTCAAACAACCGGATGTTCGATAGTCATAGAGCCATACTTGTCATATATTAAGAACAACCGCTGTTTCGGTTATAATCCTTAACGACTGTGCCCGAGTGGATAAAAAAAGGGGCGAACGTTAATCGGCTCGCAGCTATCGAAACTTCCTTTGACAAATACAGTTGGGCTACTGGTGTTACTTGTTAATGACCCTTATGGTGATGACGAAGGTTCGAAGAAAAGAACAGTGGAGTCTGGGCGTAACAATATCATTTTTTAAATTGACAAGTAATTTAATAATTTTTGATGCTAATAAGCATCTTCATAATATTAATAATTGGATATTAATGCAATTCTTAAAATCTGTAAATAATTTATTGCGAAAAATATTGCCTTAGTCAAGCAATATTTCAAGATTGAAAAAAGATTTCAGCGCATAGTTTACAGAATCGATATGTATCAGCAGACATGGTAGTGTCACGACGCTAAGAGCAAGCAATATCATAGCGCGAGATCAGCCGTGTATATTTATATAAACCATTGAATTTTTTTTTAATTGACAAAGAATTTGCTAATAAAATAAGTGAATCAAGAAAGTGAATTTAAATGTGTAAAAACGATAAATAAAAACATGTGATGGTAAAGAAGGAAACTCCAACGTAGATAAACTTCGTATTAAGACCGCCACAATACTCCCCCACCAGCGACGGTTACGTTGCGAACTGAACCTTTTTCTTCGAACCAGGATAAGTCCTCAAAGTCTTCTGAGTTGATTGTGGTGTCGAAGACGAAGTTGGTAGAGATGAGATTGAAGTAGAAGACGGCAAAGTTGGTACAGTGGAATCGGGTTCTTTAGGTAAAATGGTTTTAGACGTTCGGTTGAAATGTTAACAGATTTCCCTGCAAAATCGATAGTGAATAAATAGTCATTGATCCGCTTAATTATACGAAATGGTCCGGAATATGGAGGTTGAAGGCTTTTGCGAACAGTATCATCTCTAACCCAAACGTGAGTACAATCAAAGAGATTTTTATGATAAAAGGGGGTCTTGTTACAATGATGTGAAGTAGGTCTTGACTTAATATTTCTCATGGCAATTCTGTGTTTTTGTAGAAATATTTCAGGATCTGCAGGAGGGTCCTCTTCAAGAAAAAATTCTCCTGGACTCCGTAAACTTGACCCATACAACATCTCAGCAGGAGATGATTTTAAATCTTCTTTAAAACAAGTACGTAGTCCTAATAGAACAGTTGGAAGAACCTCCAACCAATTATGATTTCCGTGACACATGATAGCACTCTTCAAGGTACGATGCCAACGCTCTAATATTCCGTTGGAAGCAGGATGATACGCAGAAGTTCTAATTCGATTGCATCTAATCAAATTGGTGAGAGTTTTAAATAAAGTAGCTTTGAATTGCGGACCTTGGCCAGTAGAAATAGTATGAGGAGCACCAAATCTTGAAACCCAGTGTGTATAGAAGGCTGTAGAGACAGTATCAGCAGAGATTTCTTCCAGAGGAATTGCTTCAGGCCATCTTGAAAACCTGTCAATCATCGTCAAGCAATAACGAAATTGTTTGCAAGGTGGAAGTGTCAAGGTGGAAGTCCGATAAGATCAAGATGCACGTGTTGAAACCGTTGATCTGTTACATTAATCTTGAAAGGTAAATTTTTGGTGTGTCTTTGAATCTTTGCACGTTGACAAGGTAAACACGTTCTACACCACTCTTTAATGTCTTTTCTTAAAGAAGGCCAAATAAACTTCTGCAGAATAGATTTACAAGTGGACTTGATACTTGGATGAGACAAACGATGAACAATATCGAAAATTCGTCTTCGAAGTCGATAAGGAACATAAGGACGGATACATTCAGTAGAACAATCGCAGAAAATAGGAGCAGTAGAACCCGTAAGTACAAATTTTTGTAATTTGAGAGCTGATATTTCCTTGAGTAAAGTTTTTAACTCCATATCATCTAATTGTGCTTCAGCAAGTTCCTCCAATGAAACTATAACTGGCATTGTAATAAAATCAATTCTTGGTAATGCATCTGCCACGGAATTCTGTTTACTTGAAATATGTTCAATATCAGTGGAAAATTGAGCAATAAAATCAAGTTGACGAATCTGTCGTGGTGAAGCTTTATCTGGCTTCTGTCGAAAGGCATAAATCAATGGTTTATGATCCGTTCTGATAATGAATTTGCGTCCATCAAGTATGTACCTAAAATTTTTAATCGCTAAATAAATTTCCAAAAGTTCGCTATCATAAGCACTATAAGATTGTTGAGAGGAATTTAATTTTCTTGAAAAGAAAGCAATAGGTTTAATGTCCTTATCAACTATCTGCTCCAGAGAAGCACCGACCGCGAAATCTGAAGCATCACAAGTTAAAACCAGAGGAACTGATGGTGCTGGATGAGTTAAAGTTGTAATCTTCGAAAGTTCTTCTTTACAATTCCCAAAAGCTTCTTCTGCTTCCGGAGTCCACGGGACCAGTCTTCTATCACGTTTTCTGCTGTCTTTGAGAAATTCAGTAAGTAACACTTGATTTTTCGATGTATTTTTAAGACATCTTCTGTAATAATTGATAATGCCTAAAAATCGTCTCAATTCCAGAAGAGTAGTGGGTGTCTTGTAATCGATAATTGTCTTAACTTATTCAGCTGTCGGCTTGATTCCCTGACTAGAAACTAGATATCCGAGAAAACTGAAAAGGGATTTCTGATGCTCTGAACAAACATTTAGAGACATTAATCGTTAGACCAAAATGTTGTAGACGTTCAAAGATAACACGTAAATGTTTAAGATGTTCTTCTTCATTAGAAGATGCAATCAGAATGTCATCTAGGTAGCAAAAACAGAATTCCAAACCACTTAACACATTATTCATTAAGCGTTGGAAAGTCTGAGCAGCATTGCGTAAACCAAAAGGCATTACCACAAATTCAAATAAGCCAAATGGAGTTGTAACTGCGGTTTTATGAATATCTTGTTTCGCTACCGGGACTTGATAATATGCCTTAACAAGATCAATTTTGGTGAAAATGTTTTTACCATGTAGATTATATGTAAAATCTTGGATATGCGGCAAAGGATATCTATCCGGGACAGTGGCTGCATTTAAAGCACGATAATCACCACACAATCTCCATGAGTTATCTTGTTTAGGAACCATGTCGAGAGGAGCTGCCCAAGTACTGCTTGAAGGTCGACAAATACCTTGTTCCATTAAAAACGTAAATTCGGCTTTAGCAAATTTTAATTTTTCTGGAGACACTCTTCTAGGGGAAGAAAATATCGGCTGACCTTCTGTTAAAATATGATGTTCTACACCATGGTTTTTAAAGATAGTGGTCGCCATAAATCTTGTAAGTTTCGGAAATTCCGCTAAAAGTCTTGTATAAATAGAATTCGGTGAAGTCGTACAAATAGTAAAATGATTGACTACCGAAAATCTTCCATGATGTGATAAACCCGTAATATTGTCCATAAGACGTTTATTCCTTACGTCTATAAGTAAGCCAAAATGACTGAGGAAATCTGCACCTAAAATAGGATGTGACACATCTGCAATGCAAAATTTCCATCTAAAAGCTCTTCGCAGACCAAGATTTAAAGTTAACAACTTGTAACCATAAGTATTTATTACAGATTATTAGCAGTAAAAAGTTTAACAGAGGTTGGTGACGGCTTTGGGCAAAACCTTCTTGGAATAAGCGAAATATCTGCTCTTGTATCCACTAAAAAATGTAATCCAGAAGACTTGTCAGAAAAAATGAGGCGATTATTAATAAACCCTGTTAGTTTTCCTGTTTATCAGTGAGGGTTAAAGTTTTGGACATAGAACAAGATATAGTACATTTAATAGTTTTTGCGCCAAATCTTCTATGATAATAACAAATTGCCGAGTTAGATTTATCAGCTACATCCTTTGACTTGGATCTAAAATTCTTCTTTCGGTGAAAATTAGACCGAGACTTGCTACGCGAGCGTTTAAATTCAAGAGCTGAAATTCTTCGTTCTAGCTCAGCTACATTAGGCGTTACAGTGTCAGCTTTAGCAACTTCAGAAACCGATTGGCTAAATGGCAGGTGATTATTGTCATGTTCTAAAATTTTATCTGCCAGTTCAGCTAACTTGATTAATAGAACATCCTCGACAACTGCAAGTGTGGCTTGTATTCTAAGAGGTAATCTTTGTAGCCAAATAGAATGTAAGATATTATCTGCTATGGTTCCGCCTGAAAACTGTTTAATCTCGCATAATAAATGTTAAATCTGAAAGCTTCTTGTCATTAAGTTCAATTCCTACTAAAGTCTAAGACGTTTTTCTTCGGAATCAGTAAAACGATTAATTAGAGCAGTCTTTAAAGTGATATATTTATCTCTTTCAGGAGCATTTTCAACAATGTCGGAAACAGTTAAAAGCGCCTTTTCATCCAAGTGTCTAAGAATCGAGCTGAATTTAATTTCATCTGAACGGATTCTATATACTAGAAATTCGCTCTCTAATTGAGCAAACCAGAGTTTCGGATGCTTGTGCCAGAAAGTTGGTAATTTTACAACGCGAAATTCATTGGAATTGACTTGTCTCGACTCACCGGATTGAAGTAGATCAGCACCCGTCAAATTGGCTCCTAAATCTACTCCAGAAAAGGTACCTCAATATCTTCAGGAGTTGTTTTCGGAGTTTCAGGTGATTTGACAGGAGTTCTATCCACAGGCATTATGAAGAATCACTTTATATGAAGTTCAGTGAACCCAAGATCTCGCCAACGTCCTAGCCAGACTCTCTATTTGAAGATATCGCTCCAAAATATTATCCTACGACCTCGATTTCTTCAAAAATTGTCAAGAAGATCACGTCGGGGTCACCAATTTGTAGCGCTTTAATTCTTTATGAATGACTTTCACAGCTTTTGGAATAAAGATTTTATTCAAAGAATTTTACATTCCAGTAATTCTAAACCAGCCACAATCAATAATGTCTGTGTTGTTATATCTTTAATATACATATATTTGTGTTGCTAAGAAACAGTTTCCAGAGAAATATTGATTTTGACAAAGAATTTGCTAATAAAATAAGTGAATCAAGAAAGTGAATTTAAATGCGTAAAAACGATAAATAAAAACATGTGATGGTAAAGAAGGAAATTCCAACGTAGATAAACTTCGTATTAAGACCGCCACATCGTAAACCGTCACTGGTCTGGCATCGCTGCTAGCATAGCATGTCTAGCAGGCTTTGTTATATTTCTGGCAGCAATTTGCTGACAATGGCTGCGTTCAGTAGACTAAACAGTTTTGCAACCGTTTTATGATTCTTCGCTGAGATTGGACTATTCCTTTAAAACTAAAAGTATAAACCAATCAGCACGACGAATCATAAAACGATTGCAAAACTGTTGAGTCTGCTGTACGCAGTCATTGTCAGGTAATACAAATTCTGTATACAATTTGGTGCAATCAAAAATTGGTAACAGGCTCTGTTCAAAATCTATCTCCGCAGACTTTACTATCAGGGTACGTTTAAAAAACGTGATATTTCCATTGCTTCTTTGAATCTTTATATTACAGAATTGAAAACTTAAAATTATTATTGAACTGAATAAACGATTAAGTAAGAGGAGAGGTTAACAGTCAAAGAATAAGCGAGAAAGATATAATTTAAGATATATAGTCTTAAAATGTCACGAACCAACCAGAACGCCGCATTAGCGTCTTAAGACATTACTTAAGACGGTCTTGAAATAAGAACCGACTGTGAATATCGGTCATAGTCTAATGAAACTGTCAAAAAGAAAGTCCAATATATTAAAATTCATTATCAACGAGAATAAAATAATTGTGTATATAAAAATATGAAAAGAAATAATTTTAAATAATAATTGTAATAAACGAATGCTAAAGTTAATGAAGTTACTGATAGTAAAGGATTAAAATAACTTACAAAATTTTTATGAAGAGAAGGGTCAAATGTATTTCATGAACAATTATATTATCAATAGCCTCTTTTTCTTATCGAAACTTATATATAACAATTAATCAAGTACCTACTTATCAAACGTTTCACGTTTAGCTTGTATCAAACAAATCAAGAAGACAAATAAATATATTTGTAATTAAATTTTGTTTATTTGTCAGTTTGCAGTGGTACAATTTGAGAATCTTGATTTCTCTGTAGTTCCAATAATTTGGTTGGAAGATCCTAATTATTTTGTTACTGGCCTGAAGGATTAAAAAAAAAATTTAAGAACATTAATAATTAAACAAAGTCCAATAAGAAGTGATTGGAATAAATACAAATGTAAAATTTGTAGTAAGCATGGTGAGTAACATTACATCATTTTTAAAGAAAATTAAGAAAATAACTATTAAAATGTCTATAACACTATATAATTATTTTACACTATCTGCGGTATTTATGAGAAAATGTATATATATTCACGATTGCATTATATTTGTATAAAAATTGGAATGTATCAGTTTATGAAACTATATATTTATTAGTTTCTTACTTTTAACTTAATAGCATTTATATCTATTTATAAAT